TGAAAACGCTGGTAGGGCCTTCCCCCTCGGTTTGCTGTGTGATGAGTGTAGACTGCTCAGAAGGATGTCTGTTTTCATCATCATCACCGCCTCCTTCACAACCTCTACTCCCCCAGCATCCTCAGTACTCCCAATTTACAGATGAGAAAACTGTGAAAGAGAGGGTGGTTTTGAAACAGATTTGATTTGAGAGCCCTTGGCCTTGGTGCAGTGTAACACATCATGAGGCCCCAAAGAAACTGCTGGCTGTGGCTCTGCATCTGGGTAGTTCCCAGCCCAGCTCAGTGCACCCGTCCTGTTCAAACACTGCTGGGACACAAGGTAAGTGCATGCAGGAGGGAGCCGGCCTGTGGCTGTGCCCTTTGCTCCCTTACTTCCTGTCCCATCAAAAACATCAGGTGCCCTGGGCTTCGAAGAGAGCTGTTGCATACCTGGATCCCTGGTGGCAAAGTGGTTACGCGTTGGGCTACTAACCCCTAGGTTGGCAGTTTGAAACCACCAGCCGCTCCTCGGGAGAACGGTGGGGCTTTCTATGCCTGTAAACAATTACAGTCTCAGAAGCTCACAGGCTCAGTTCTACCTGCCCTGTCCTAGAGGATTCTGGGATGAGTCACCACAGACTTGCTGGCAATGAGTTTAGTCTCGTTTTTTTTGCATACCTAAGCCAAAAGCAATTGGTATACACTCAATGATTCCTATAGGAGGATAGAATCAAATATTTCGAGACCCTTATAAGAAACTGAATCGCTTCAGAGGACATTCAGTTCTTCATAACTGTGTTACACGAGGCCACATCTCCTAAGAATGAAGGAAGTCCATGGATTGTTGCCCAGCGTTTTCCGGTCAGGCTTACAGTAGAGGCACTGTCCGGGGCCAGATTGGCATTTCCTTCTTCTGCCTTGACCCAGTCCCCTCTGGAGTGAGCTATGAGGTAGGGTCAAGGAGCAAGAGAAACCAAAGCAAAGGGAAGGATCTTGAAAGTCCACCTGCTCATAAATTGCCAGCACCCTCCGCGCCCGCTCCCCTGGGCCTGAAGGCGGCTTTGTGTGTGTGTGTGTGTCTTGCAGAATGCGAGCACCTGATCCGCCACATGCTGGTGTTGGACCCCAGCAGGCGCCTGTCCATGGAGCAGATCTGCAAGCACAAGTGGATGAAGCTCGGGGACGCCGACCCCAACTTTGAAAGGGTGAGCCGGTTGTGTGTGGCCTGCAGTGATGGGTGGTGGGGACAAACCGTTCTTGCATGATACTGATGCATCATCGAGAGAGGCGGGCAAGGAGAAGTGGAAAATCAGCTGAGTTGTTGCAAAAAGAGCGAAATTAGTTCCCAGTCATTGGTCCCCCAAGTCAGAGCCCCTTCCTGGCTTGGGGTGCAGTACAGCCCACAGCTCTGCAGCTCACCCCATGGGGATTTCTCCTCCTCCTGCTGAATGTGCTCAGATTCACAGCTCCCATATCGCACCTTTATTTAAACCTTCCTAGCCGTCTCAGGTACCTAAAGCATCAGGAAGCAGAGATCTTGTGGAATACATTCAGGGTTGCCTTGTTTACGTTTTGTTTGAGGCCAGGATATTACTGTGTTCTGAATGAGATGATAAGATGACCAAGCAGCAAGTAGCTTGATCATTACATAGGTCATGCACGTTGGTACGGTGAAAGGGAGGTTTGACAGCTTGTTTTTTTGTGATGTACAGTTGATAGCTGAATGCCAGCAGTTAAAAGAAGAAAGACAGACGGAGCCCCTGAATGAGGACGTCCTCGGGGCCATGGAGGACATGGGGCTGGACAAAGAGCGGACCCTCCAGGTATCTCCAAGAGTGGAGAATCAAGTGAAGTATAACAGACCTCCTTCTATTCCCATGTTTGTTCTTTTTTTTTTTTTTTTAAACTTGGCTCCTTTTGCTTTCTCCCTGTTCATCTTTCTCTGCCCTTTCCCTGGGCCCTGGGAAGAAGGAAGGAAGGTGCTTTGGTCTTCTGGTTGTGTCACGGGAAGGGTTTGGGTCAGTGGCATGCCAATTGACTCGGGGTTTTCTCTCCTTCCCCTGCACTCCCTCAAAGTCCTTGAGATCAGATGCCTACGACCACTACAGCGCCATCTACAGTCTGCTGTGTGATCGTCATAGGAGACACAAGACTTTACGTGTTGGAGCACCCAGCCTGCCCCGAACCATGGCCTTTCAAACACAAGTCAATCTCCAGGTAAAGTGACGCCAAGGGGATGCCCTGCCCTTCCTTCCCTCTGGCCCTCCCGGCCCTCCTGTCCTTTATTAGCGAGCAAGCCAAGCTGCACCTTTCTTGGAAGGAGCGCTCCGGGCACTGGCCTGGGCAACCAGGTTGCGTTTTGTTTTAAGAAAGCAAATCATTGGAAGACATTGTCCTCTCTGAAGAGTATCTCATGGTAGTTTCTTTGAAGGGTAGAGGAAGCAAGGCGTCCGGGGTGGAAATGTAGATTTCAGCACGCATCGTTTCCATCTCGTGCTTAAGGTATGTGTGTGTCTCTGTGTGCTGCTTTCCAGGCAGAGCAGGCAGGGACCGCGGTGAACATGAGTGTTCCCCAGGTGCAGCTGATCAACCCTGAGAACCAGATCGTGGAGGCAAGTAGAACCGCTGATTGCTGTCGGCTGGCCCCTTTGCCTCCGGTGCCCTTCTTCCTGTCCCTTCTGATTAGATTGTGCTTTCTTCCCCCTCAGGCCGATGGGACGGTGAACTTGGACAGTGATGAGAGTGAAGAGCCGTCCCCTGAAGCACTGGTCCGCTATTTGTCGATGAGGCGGCACACAGTGGGGGTGGCAGACCCACGGTGAGTACTGGGCCCACCACCCTGGATGAACACCCAGGCAAGGAATTTCTGCTCCACTTCCCGTTGCTAGGATGGCATGCTTCCCCTGCGTGATTGTATCCCACGGATGAGATTTAACCCAGGGCCCAGGACAAGTACGGAACCAGATTCAGGGTCCCTGGTATATCCATCAGGAGCCCTGGAGGCAGAGTGATTATGCCCTGGGCTAATTCCAAGGTCAGTCGGTCAGTTAACCGTGCAGGAAGAGCACTTCCAAACCACTAGCCGCCCCTCGGGAGAAAGATGAGACTTTCCACTCCCGTAAAGCTTTACAGCCTCAGAAACCCACAGGGCCAGTTCTTCCCTGCCTGTAGGGTCGCTCCGAGTTAGAATCCATTCGGTGGCAGTGAATGAGCCCGTGGACGATCAGGCTGGATTTGACTGCAGCACTTAAGGAGCTGCAGCGGTGCTTGCTGGGCCATTGGCCACCTTCATGGCAAAGATGCCCACCCCCTGAGGAACATCACAACGGCCTCCTTGCCCATGGGGAGTGGGGCCCTCGGATCGCAGTCACCATAAAGGGCTTCTTGAAATGTTTCTGGTTTTAGAGAAGTTGTCTGTCTTCTAGTGGTACTTGTTTCATGGATGTTCTGATTTAAGACTTAGGGAGATAGGTACGGACGAATGACACGATGTCATGTGTGTTATGTATGTAGACAGCTAACAATGACATTAACTGGACAAGGTCCAGAAACCACTGAACAGGTACCCGTTCCCCAAAGCCTTTCCCCCCCAAACAGTCCTTCAGGCGATTCCCCGTGGCCATGCCACGGGAGGAAACCATCTGTAGTTCCGTCCTGGGCTGTCTGTGTTGACGGCCAGCTCTCTCTGTCTTTGCCCTACAGCAGAGACTTCCAGTGCTGGGGGGCTATTTTCTTTGCAGAGCAGGGAAAAGGAGATTGTGGCAGGAGGTCTCTGGAAAGCCCAGCCAGGGGCAGAGCTGGTTTTCTTGTCATCTCTTTTCCCGAGGGAATGTCCCAAACAGCCTTCCTTTCTCTACATTTCTGGTTCTCAGCCCACAAGGAACTCCGTGCCACCTGCAGCCCGTGTCAGTACAGAGGGCCGGAGTCCTGTGGCCCTCGCCAGTGGAAAGAGCCCCTGGGTAAAATAGGCTGTTAGACCTACTGTTGTCACTGACAGCCAGCCCTGCACATCCAGGACTCTGCAGTCCCGTCACCTCTGATAAGGGGAATCGCAGTCTCTCCCCAGTGAATCCTTTGCCACTGTGGGTGGCCATTGTTTGGGCGGGTGGCCTGGGTCCTCCAGCAGCTGGCTAGTTCACCTCCAAGCCTTGCAGACCTGGGCTGGACGGTGGCTGGTCTTTCCTCTTAACTTGGAGCTCTTGGTTTTACAGGAGGGGTCACTTCAGGAAAGACCTTCCTAGCCCTAAAGCATAAAATGACAAGGAGGAAACTCCCACCTATCGAGTTTCTACTGTGCCCCAGGAACATAGAGAAAAATGACAGGCGCAGGAGGAAACTTCAAAATACGTAAATGAATAAGCTGCACTTAAACTCTAGCAGTGGTATCTGTTTTGGTATGTGAGCACTTTTGGGGACTCGTCTTACTGGCACTTCTCCTTCGTCCTGTTTCCTGTCAGCACGGAAGTGATGGAAGACCTGCAGAAGCTCCTCCCTGGCTTTCCTGGGGTCAATCTGCAGGCCCCGTTCCTGCAGGTGCCTCCGAACATGAACTTCATGCACAACCTGTTGCCCATGCAGAATTTGCAGCCAACTGGGCAACTCGAGTACAAGGTACCGACCTGGCTACGGGCAAGGGCTCACCCTAGAAGAGCCAAACTTGCCCTTCCTCTGAGAGGTTTCACAAGAACTTCCCCACCAGTTGAGGGTCTCCTTAGAGAAGAGGCTTTCTCTTGTAAAGCAGCTTGGATGAAAAGGGGTGGGGGTGGGAGATTTTACTAGATCCATATGAAAAGATCCCTTAGTTTCTGAAGATTAGACTATAGCTATCTCCCCACCCCCACCTCCTCCAGCCTCATTAATCTAACCTTCTCAATCTACCCCGGGCAGGAGCAGTCCTTGTTACAGCCACCTGCCCTCCAGCTGCTGAATGGAATGGGCCCCCTTGGCCGAAGGGCATCCGATGGAGGAGCCAACATCCAGTTGCATGCCCAACAGCTGCTGAAGCGCCCACGGGGACCTTCCCCGCTTGTCACAATGACACCCGTGAGTACTTTTCCAGGCGCTTTTGATAAGGAGAGTGGGGGTTAAGATTTGGGAATCCAGGGAGTCTCCAACTTAAAATATCTGAATTTCCTTTCTCTCAAATTCATAGGTTCAAAAAAAAAAAAATTCATAGGTTCCCAAACATTGGCCTACTCGCCCCCCCTTTCAGAAAGAAAAAATTCTCAGTGCTCCTCTGTCAATTAAAAATCCTTTGTACTATATAACCCATAATCCAAGATAAAGTGTAGGTATCTGTTCTTGCCATGCTCCCCCCCCTCCCTGCACTTGTTCCAGCGCCCTCCAGGGGCAGTATCACCCATTTTAGCGTACAGAATTCTCAATGAATGACCTTCAGTATATTTTTGTTCTCTTCAGGCTCAATCTTTGGCCACCTCCCTTAGTTATCCAGATAGTTTCTGTATTGCACCCTACTCTTGGAGAGTCTCCCTAGTTACGGACAGGCACGTTCCTGTCACCACTCGGCAGACTCACCACAGCCTGCCCCAAAGCATTCTCATACCGTCTTTCCTGCTAGAAGGCAGCTGAGTAGAGCTTCTCTCTGTGAGCAAGCTGCCTTTTCGCTGCCTCCCCAGGAGGAGGGGACCTCCTCATCAACGCCTTCTTCTTGGATCCACATAGCTGGCCCTTTTGGCATGACCTGGAGTCCCTGCATGGATGGTCTCACACGCTCTTCCTTGGGCAGTCTCCTCTGTGTTCAAATGGCCACCTTCAAAGATCTTTCCCATTTATCCCTGACTATTTTCCTATCGTAGGCAAACCCATTCATTTATCCATGCACTCATTCTATCTCAGTATGTAAAACCAGGTATTAATTATGTCCATGGCCCTCATTAGGTCTTTTTGGACCTACCAACAATCTCCCGGACCATCCGTGATGCTGTTGCCAGGTGCCCTGACCCCATGCACACGGACTGAATCACTGCGGGTCCTGGGCCACCCTCACCGTTGGTCCTGGGCTGGAGCCTGTGGCTGCAGCCGTGGTGTCCCTGCATCTCCAAGGGCCTTCCTCTTTCTTGCTGCCACTCGGTTTTGCCCAGCATGCTGTCCTTCCCCAGGCTCTGGTCTCTCCTGACAACACGTGTGAAGTACGTAAGACAAACTCTCGCCATCCTTTTCCCCTTCAGAACATTCTTGACCGTACTTCTTCCAAGACAGATTGGTGTGTCCTTTGTCCTTTTAGCAGTCCTTGGTACTTTCAGTATTCTTCTCCAGCACCACAATTCACACGCATCCATTCTCTGGTCTCCTTTATTCTGTGTCCAACGTTCACAGGCAGATGAGACGGTTGAAAGTCCCCTGGCTTGGGTCAGGCGCACTTTAGTCCACAAAGTAGCATCCTTGCTTTTCAGCACTCTAGAGAGGTCTCGCGCAGCCGATTTACCTACTGCAACGTGTCCTTTGATCTCTTGACAGCTGCTGTGATAGAGGACCGATTTTGTTTTGTGTTTTCCTTCATCCCATCATGGATTAAACATTTTATAAAGAAATAAGTAATTAGAAAAATGAAAATGGAAAAACTTGTCAAACGCAAGGGTAAATCTTTTATTCAGAAATCTGACGGACAAAATGGCTCTGTTAAAATTGCTGTGTTCGAGTTTATAAAAGCGTATGTTTGATTTTCTCTACTTAGCACAGATCAGTAACAAACTAGTTTGTGGACTGGCATGACCCCTGGGCCACCCTATCAGTTACACTGCTCCCTAGAAAACAGAAGAATTAGATATGTGTTCTTGGCCTCACTGAGCTTATAACCTAGGGAGACAAGAGTGAAGTATTTGCATCATAGTGAAATACCATCGACGACCAAGTACCACGGTGAATAACACAGACATATTAGATGGCCCAGGTTGCAGGGAAGGGCAAGATCAGTGTAGGTTAAGGAGGATCAGGAGCAGATTTATGAGAGGTGGGTGACATGCCCTGCCCACTGAAATGGATTTTGCCCGTGTTTCCAAGAAGCTCAGGTTGATAAATTCCCTGGGCATTTTAAATCTATTCTTTTTGCCCTCCTGACTCTCTTATTAGTCATTGACGACCACTTTTCTCCTGGAAGTATTTTCTTTGCCTGGCTTCTGTGCGACCGTCACAACACCCGGCCTCTCTTTGTCAGGGTCACTTTCTGCCTGTTTCTCGAAGTTGGCCAAACCGAGCGCTTTATGTCCGGCTCTGTTCTCATGTCACTTTCCTTTTCTTCCGGGGTGAGCTCGTCCACTCCCTTAGTTCTGTTCCCGTCTGGTTCTACAGCCCAGAATTTTTGAGTTCCATGCATCAGATGACATGCTGCCTCCTGGACAGACTTAGTTGGGGATCCCATTACGACTGGCAATTATAATCCAACATGTCCCCAAACACACGTATCATGACGCCGAGCAGCCTGCGCTCCTCCCCGATCTCCCGAGGTTCGTGTGAATGTCGCTGGCATTCTCCTTGCCCCCTGCTCCACATTGCAAGCCACTGAGCCACCGCCTGTGCTTCAGCCTCTTACTTCTCCTCACCCCCGCTACTCCTGTTAAGCTTCTCTCAGGCTGCTGTCAGCCTTTGCCTAGATTAACAGGGTGACCTCCTCGCTGCTGGCTCCCTTGCTTCCAATCTTAGCCCCTGATCCTCATCATCCGCCCTTTTCACACTGCAACTAAAGGGCATTGGCATTCTAAAATAAATCATAACATCATGTCCCCGTTTGAAAATCCTGTAGTGATTCACCCTCCCTCAAAATAAACTTCTTAATGTGCTACTCAAGGCCATTTATAACCGGCCGTGGTGTTCCTCTCTGGCCTCAATTCTAGCCACTTCCTGCCTAGGCCTGTGTGCTCCGCCCTCACAGAACAGCGGGAAAGGGTCTGGAAACCCTGGAGACGTGGAGTCCAACATCCCCCTCCCCCACCCCCCCACCATTGGAAAATAAAAAGGTTTTGCCTTGTTTTATAGTGATCATCATTTTTTAAATGCTCTTCCATAATTCCTCTGTAATTCTTCATGTTTCCCTATAACGCTTTTGTTTTCTGTAATCGCTGCATTGTGCTGGGGTGTGAGTCTGAACGGAGGTGCACAGCCGGCCGGCCCACACGCAGAGAGGAACCAAGAGCCCCACTCCTGCGAGCATGGAGAGCTCTCGTTGCCCCTGGGGGTTCTCGTGGGAAGCAAGTGTGTCTGGAAGCGTTGCCCTCCAAGTTATACATCTCCATGTCCTGTTCTAAATTTTCCTGGACACATTTATTTGGGGGTGGGGGTGGAGGCAAGGGAGCTTCAAAACAGTTTGTGGAAAAATCCTATTGTCTTTGAATTCCCTATTTCCATGAACTTTTTGAGAATCCCTAATACGTATCTTGTTTAAAAGCCACGATGCCTTTCTGGACTCTGGAGCTAGCATTGTTATGAAGCAGGTCCGCTCTAAGACATTCTGGGGGACTCTCTCCTGCTGGATTTTCCAGTCCTCAAACACCCACACGCTTCCTCTTTCCTCTCAGCCTTGAACATGCGCACCTTCTCCCCATTTCCTTGGCCAGCCCCAGTTCATCCTTCAGGTCCCAGGTTGGCTGTTTGCTTCTGCACAAGGATACCCTAAACCCCCAAGCACTCTGTCCATGCAAGTGGTCCTGCACTTTCCTAAGGAACCCCTGCCCTCCAGCGGACCGTAGACATGAAGGCAGAGAGTCTCTGTAAAGTCACACTTGACCCTGGAGCCGAGTCGACATTCACCTGCTTGTTGGATCGCTCAATGGAGCGGTGAAGGTGGCTAAGGGGAAGCGATCTGCACGAACGTGACCGGACCCTGACCAGGAAAAAGAGGGGCAATGCAAAGTCATGGAGGCTGCGCATGCCCTAAGGCCCTAGGCACATTTTGCAAGCCAAAGAGCAGGCCGGCCTGGTTCACACTGACGTCTCAAATGGGAGGCATGTGCCGAATCGAATGAGCCGCCACCTTGAGCTTTCCCTTCCTGTCTCCCCAGGCAGTGGCAGCAGTGACCCCTGTGGACGAGGAGAGCTCGGATGGGGAGCCCGACCCGGAAGCTGTGCAGAGGTAATGTGACATCTGGCAGGCCTTGCAGAACGTCCTGGGGCAGGCTCCCCCTGCAACCAGCGAGCGGTCCCCTCTGCCCAAGGCGGTGGTACAGCGCAGCTGCGACATGTGTGTGGGCTCTTTGCTCGAACCAGATGGCTCGTGCCTCCCCACATGGAAGTACACCGAAGACTACCCAGAACATGCCATTTCTATAAGCGCCACTGGAAGTCCCCTAAGTGACAGCAATAACCATAAGAACTTTCTCTCCCCTCCCTCCTTCCTCCCTTGCCCCGCCTTCCTATTGCAACTCTGATAGTATTCACAAGGCCCAAAGCCTACTCCTACCTGCCGAGAACTGCTTCCTGAAAGGAATTGGAGATGTGGGATGACCGTGATCCTAGCTAGTCTGGCCACGGACCTCTGGCCTGGACTCTTCCCTTCCAGGAGAATGAATACCTCTTGTTATTGTGTGTTGTGTGCTTCTGTGTTTCTTCCTGCCCCTTGTACCAACAAAGCTATTTTGGGGGGAGGAAAAATAAACAAAACAACAATGAACATGGGATTTGGTCCAGGAGTAGATGCAAGTATCCATTGTTTGCAGAACCTTGTTGAGAGATGCCTGAAGTACAGAAAACAGCAGTGGCGCAGGCCTGCTCTCCTGTTTGTTCATACCCCGCAGTCCCCTGAGCTGTGGCCCTCAGCTCCATGCATGCCCCCTTGGGGGAATTGTCTTTTATTTTCTGGGGAGGGGGTTTGACCAGAATTCAGCATGTATTTTCCCAGAAATACAGGTGTTCTTAAAAAAGATTATATGTTCTCCCTTGAGGGAAGTTGAAATAAAATGGTTTTCATGGGCTCTTGGGAAACTTTGGGTGTCTTTATCAAATAATACTGACCTAATGCAAGTTTACATACCGCCAATCACAGTCTGTTACCTGTTTGTAGCTTAACTGGGCGAAGTCGTTAAAAAAGGAAACGAGACCATTTCCTCCGCACTGAGCGGTCCCGGCCAGTGTGGTCTTCTGCCCCGGAGTTCTGTGCGAGTGAGCGGGCGAGCGAGCGGCTGTGTAAGAGGCAGAGATGGCGGTGGTAGATGGGCCGGCTCCTGCTGCACCTTAGCCGGGAGAAGGACATTCTGATCACTTTTTTTTCTTCTTGATGCTGTTGATGCCGTTTTGCTTGTTGGCAAACAGAAAAGCACAATAAGGTTTCAAATGGGTCCTGCGCTGTCCTGAAGATCCAGGACCTGAGAGATTAGGAAATTCACTGCCTTTGACCCTTCAGTGGGCAGCAGTTGTGTTCTCCTCCTTGCCCAGGTCTCCCCCGTCCACCTTGCTGAGATCAGCACCTCGAGGTTAGGGTGCCCCTCGGTTGTGATGTGAGGAGGAGGAGAAGTCAACCTTCTTTGCTCCACACCCTCAGCAGGTGGAGGGCGTCATGCACCAAAGGGGGACTGACCTCTCCCTCATCGATGCTCCTGAGGACGTGGTGGGTCGAGAGAGCAGCAGAATAAAACCCGTCGGCTGGGGCACCTCGTCACCTCTTGAAGCTCCACTGTTTCCTTGCCCGTTTTTGTCCTAAAAACAGCAACAGCAATTTGAACCACTTCCTGTGCTTTTATTTCTTCATCCTCTAGAGAATGGGTTCTCCTGGACCGCATCCGTTTTTCTTCTCTGGTGATTGAGTTAAGGTCGGGGCCATGAGGCAAGTGCTGGTCCGGGGACTCTCTTATCTATCCCACATGGGAGGGTCTTGAAAATAGTGACGGACAGAGAGGAAGCGCTCTGAACCTGGGATCCAGAGGCATATGTAGAGTCTTGAACCGCTTTCTTGGTTCATCTCGAACGGTTCTCTATGGCCCGTTCCCTCTGCCTTGGGGAACCGCCTTGTATTTTGGAACTTTGGGAGAGAGCGAGCCGTGGAATTGACAAGCTGCGGTCCTCTTTTGGTGGATGTGTTGATGTAGGGAGCACTGATCCTCTTATCTCGATGAGCTAGACCGGTCTTCTTTCTTCCCTTCAGCAGCTACTCTGAGTTCAGGACTTAGCCGCCGCAGTGTGAAGCCGACTTTTGTTGGCCAGCCAGACCCGTTTCACTTCTTCCAGTCAGGGGTCTGCTCGCAGTGAGCCCTCTCTCAGCTCCGGCGTGACTTCATGCTGAGTGCCTTGGATGAGCTTCCAGTGCTTCTTGCTGAGGAATATTCCTGTCCGTCGTTTTCACTGTGAAATGTGCTCCTGCTTGTTGCAGGTACTTGGCAAATAGGTCCAAAAGACACACACTGGCCATGACCAACCCTACAGCTGAGATCCCACCGGACCTACAACGGCAACTAGGACAGCAGCCTTTCCGTCCCCGGGTCTGGCCTCCTCACCTGGTACCTGATCAGCATCGGTGAGTAGCCACATGAGCTGTGTCAGCCCCCTGAGGTTCATCAGATAGGCGCCCTTCTGATTGGTCTTGCAATGACGGTGACTAGCATCCAGGTTTTAAATGGAAGTCACCTGTCATCTTGAACTTCCATCTAATGCAGCTAGCTCCTTGTACTAAGCCAGACACAGGGCAAAGGTTTTCTCCTGGGCCCTGGGGCCACACAACATCCTTCTCTCTCGATCCTTATCCGGTTTATTGTCTGCGGTTGGTTGTCATGACTCTAGAGGTTGACTCATAGATGACATTGCACTTGAAACCTGAGAGCAGGTGAAGCTCTTGGAAAGCCACCTGGAAAATAGGAAGATTTATAGTCTTACCAGTAAGCTCCATCTTTAATAACCCAGCGCCCGCAAAAGAACACGCATTGCATATCGCGTCACATTGGACGGGCGGGGCTGGAGGAAGAGCCCCTGGTGAATGGTGGCGCAGAGGGACCGCATCTCTTGAGTTGCGTGCGGGCGGGGCTGCAGGAAGAGCCCCTGGTGAATGGTGGCGCAGAGGGACCGCATCTCTTGAGTTGCGTGCGGGCGGGGCTGCAGGAAGAGCCCCTGGTGAATGGTGGCGCAGAGGGACCGCATCTCTTGAGTTGCATGCTTGAGAAGTCGCTCTTGCAGGATTTTTGTGGCCACATCCTCTTGCCAGTCTTGATTCCATTTGTAATCCATCCTCTTGAAGACATGAGAGTGAACTTACCAACCTTCCTGACCAAGAAAATGCCATAAGATGGAATCCTGCTGGACCTGGAAACCGCGGGGCCGGCCACTTCATTAGATGAATACCTCCATGACTGCACGTTGTAGCTGTGTCCATCCGGAAGCTCCTCCCCTGCCAACGGGACACAGCGCCCCGTGCCACGACCAGTAACCAGAGCTTGTCTTATGCTAGTCTCTTCTTTGTGGGGTGGGACAGGCCTGTGAAGAACACCCTGGCTTAGGAGAGCTGCAGAGCAAGCTGTTCCCAAGGGAGCCCCTCTGATAACTCTGTTTTTTTGGTGAGCTGGTGAAGCCACCTCACACTGGGGGGCTTAGCCACCCACCAAGCAGTCAGAAGAGACAGAGGAACCCTGAGTAGGCCGGGCCTTGTCGGTGCCATGCTGGAACTCTGAGGAAGGCAGAGAGACTTGCTGGTAACTTAGCGAGAATGGTCTGAGGGCAAGCAGAGGAGTCAAACCCTGGCTAGCACAGAACAACACTGTTGTCGCTGACGACAGTCTCTTAGGACCTGGATTATGAGCTCATATCAGAGGGGACTTGAGGTGATATATTGGAGAGCTGCTCTGTTTCCCTCCCATAAACGTCCCGAGATTTCTTAGTAGCACTGTGCCGCGCTGCACATGTCCTCCTAATAGACCTTCTCTTCCTCCGTCTCCCCTCGTTTCCATGTCTCCTCACCCACAGTGGAACACTTGCGTTCTCAGCCCTTGTCAGAGTGAAGTGTGTAGTTGAAGCCCTGTGCGTGTCCTCATTCAATCCTGTGTGTTCCTTGGGAGGTATTCTTATTCTGGGAAATGTGAAGATCAGCATGCCTCTTCAGTCGGCCTTGACCGCAGACCCTCTGACCTGTTGGCAGGTGCTGCTTGGGGAAGACGTTCCCGCCCCGCCTGCAGGTCCTGTCGAGGCCCTGCCTGCTGGGTCAGTGTCTGCTGTCTGTTCCCTGGTGAACACTCTTGCTAAAAGCATTTCAGGAGTTCTCTGAGCCCAAACCAGTGGAATGAAAAGAAACAATGCTCTATGAGCAGACGGTTATGTAAGGGCTGTTGTACACACTCAACGTGACTTGATGGGGCTGGGAGGGGGTGGGGGGCATGTAGAGTCACTGTAAACAATAGGGCAACAGTAGAAAGTGAGGTTAGCCTTTGAGAGAAAACCAAAAACAGTTCCCCAAGGCCGTAAGTGAGACTGTGGCTGGGCTCTTGCAGTCCCTTTATTTGGGGCGTGAAAAGGCCTCTCCAGCTCTTCCTCCAAGGTGCAATGACATCCAAACACGGAGAAAGAAGAGGCGTTCAGATCAGCTTTTCTGATCCGGGAAGATAATCTGTTTCCGAATTGCATGTAATGTATTAACATGGCACTAATGCAGGATGGATTTTACCATCTTGTACCAGATTCCTGGTTGACAAGTATCGTGGGAACAACAGCCTCCCAGGGGCTGCCCTGAGTTTGGACGGGGCTGCTAAGGACAGTCCCACAGCCGACATCATCAGTGCTGCCCCAGGCGTGGTGGCTTCAAGACGACGGTTCAGATCCTCTGGAGTTAATGAGTTGCACTGAGCGGAGCTGAAAAAGTCCTGGAACACCTGGGCCAGGAGTGCTTTCTTGGCTGGGAGAGGAGGGCTTCAGTGCACTGCCAGAGCACAGCATTCTGAGTGGATCAGAAAAGTGTTCATCACCCCCAAAAACAGTGAAAGGGGAGGGGTCACGTTGTAGGTGAAAATAGTATTTGCTTGCTTGAACTGCAAAAGTCTAACGTAGAAAACAAATGAAAACTATTCAGGAGCCTGCTCCTGGGAGCACCTCTCCTGGCCACTGTTTCTGGATTGTGCCCCCTAAATCATGTGGTTTGGGGTACCCACAGAATTGCACAGTCATACCAATCCATCGTCGGAAGAACAAGTACTAGAAACGCAAGGGAAAGGCCTTTCCCCTGCTGCCAGGACTCTCTTGACACCGCTGCACAGCCATCCGATTCCTCTGGGTCCCTCCCCGGCCACTCAGAGCATATTTAAACTTTCTTGTTCACATGCCCTTAAAAAAACAAAAACGATTGTTTTTGCTTCCATCCAAAATAAATAAAGGTCCAGATGAGAACTCACTTTGCCCACAGAGCAGTATAATGTTATCTCTGCCCTGGGCATGGACCCTGGGTCCTTTCCATCAGCTGTCGGAGTGCTGCCTCGGTACTCTGTTATCTGTTTACCCGAGGAGCATGGCTTTCTGATTAGATCATAAGTGCAGGTATTAGCTTCTAACCCCCGACGTTGTCTTAGGCAGCCCTTATCAATAGGCCGTTCTTTCTCCGGTAAGATACTGGCTGGGTTCTGATGGAGTTTGAAGGTAATCCACGTGACCCTTTCACTGGGAGGCTGGAGGAGCTGCAGCTGCTTTGAGAGGTGAATTTCCACAGTAGGTAGCCTCGGGTTGATCAGGTCTATGCAGAATCTCAGGGCCCATGTTCCTTAAGAATATGCTGCTTCTGACCTGGAGAGCAGATGTCCTCCAGCCCCACTGCCTGCCCATCTTTCAGCACAACCACAGACTACTACTCAGGAAGAAACGGGGGCTTATCTACAGTCCTGGCACTAAGTGGAGAGATGGTTGTAAAAGGGAGAGGTATACAACCCAGCCCGGTGGGGGTAGGGGGAGGTTGGGCGTGTATTTAGAAGCTCTTCTCTAAGGAACCCTGGTGGCATAGTGGTTACGTATTGGCCTGCCATCTGCATGGTCGGCAGTTCAAAACCACCAGCAGCTCTGCTGGAGAAAGACTGGGCTTTCCACTCCCGTCAACAGTGACAGTCTCAGAACAGTGACAGTCTCAGAAACCCACATGGGGTCGCTGTGAGTCAGCATGGATTCAGTGGCAGTGAGTGCCATGTTGCTCACTCTGGGGCTATAGAATATTGTAAGAACCGGCCACACTTGATCCCAGGACCTCAGCAGGCTCGGAAACCGAGCCACCGGAAGGTAAGTGGGAACAGAAAGTGTGCCCCTGGAGCTCGGTGGAGAGATGCAGGGCAGGGAAGCAGCTGACCTTTGGCGGTGGCATACCATGCAGGATGCACGGGCAGCCGGCGTCTGTGTTTCTCTGGACCAGCAGTCCCTATGTGATGTGATCAGAACCCCTGTGTCCTTGCCCCTAACCTTCTCTTCCCATGTATTCAGCTCTACCTACAAGGACTCCAATACCCTGCACCTCCCCACGGAGCGCTTCTCCCCTGTGCGCCGCTTCTCAGATGGGGCTGCAAGCATCCAGGCCTTCAAAGCTCACCTGGAAAAAATGGGCAACAGCAGCAGCATCAAGCAGTTGCAGCAGGTAATGGCGGAGATGGCAGGCATCTCTGAAGAAGCATGAGTAGCAGAGGCCAGTAATGCAGGAGGCCTGGGGCGGGTAACCTTTCCACCCGCTCCGTGTCGGCAACCATGCAGTTGCAAAGGGCTCGCTTTCTAACAATCTTTCCTCACTTGCTACGCACAGCTCTCCTCGGGATGGCACTTGCTGCCCTAGGAAGGGACTGAGCGTGTCTCCTTCAGAGGGCTTGGAGGGCTCGGGTGTCCGTGGGGAGCACCAGGGAAGGGCTGCTAAGTCAGCTGGCATTGCTTTGCCTGCTCTACGTGCTTCCTACCTGGGATTCTCCAGCGGCTCCACGGTGCTGCTCCCAGGGCAAGGAAGCCCACCTTCAGGCTTCTGTGGCAGGCCGTGGCCTTTTGCCTTCCCGAATGACCCAGCCAAGCTTCGAGGGGCACAGATTTCACACTGAACGCTTCTGCTTGTCCACATGCTCGGTGGTTCCCGTGCCTGCACACGAAGCCAGAGTATGGCTCTACCTAGCACACCGATGACCTGTGTCCAGGGGTTCATTGCGCACCGAGGACGCGGTTCTCCTGTGGTGGTTCTTTCTGCCCGTGAGGCCCTGGGGCAGATCTGCATCTGCCGAGCGCCCTGCGTGGGGTGGAGCTGGCGGCATCCCATCTGTGTCAACTGCTTTCCCTTCAGGAGTGTGAGCAGCTGCAGAAGATGTACGGGGGGCAGATTGATGAGCGGACCCTGGAGAAGACCCAGCAGCAGCATATGCTGTACCAGCAGGAGCAGCACCACCAAACGCTGCAGCAACAGATCCAAGTAGGCCTTCCCCCTGGCTTTCGCCAACTTTGCAGTTTGCTTTCCGGCCGGTGTGCCTGTGGATCCTGGAGGACACCTCTCAGGGCATAGTGCGGTTGAGTGGTGTTCACGGTGGGCCCGCTTGGGTAGAGACGCCACCACACGTTTGTGATGGACAACAGCGCTTTCTGTTTCTTCCCTGCCCGAGAATAGCCCTGGTGCCTCTCCACGCTCACGCTTACCTGTGCCTCTCCCCGCCTCCCCCCACGTTTCAGGAGTCGATCTGCCCCCCTCAGCCTTCTCCACCTCTTCAGGCCGCATGTGAAAACCAACCAGCCCTCCTTACCCACCAGCTCCAGAGGTAATGAATCTTTTGTCCTTCTTTTCCTTTGTTAATGCCTAAGCCATTGTCTCTTGCTTGGTGTCCTTGGCCTGACTCGTACGGGAGATGTGGACTGACTTTTAGCCTTCGTCTTACAAGACTGTCTGCAAGGGGAGGCAGCGATTTAGATTGCCGGTGCCTCTCTGAGATGCGAATCCCTTGTGCCACTTGATTTTCGTAGCCCCCCTCTACACATTGATCTGGGGTCTAACACAGGTGGGCGGCCAGGCCAGATGGTGAGACACTGGGAGCGTCGCCTTTGTCTGGCCGTCTGGTAAACAAGATGTCGGCTGGCTCTAGGTAGACTGTGGTGGATAGTTGGTGTATGATTTTTTTCTGTACAGAGGCTTATGAAAACAAACAACAACAAAAAACTTAAACCATAAAGTAAAAGCTCCTACTTATGTGTATCCTGAGGCAGAAATGGGAGGTTAATTTCACTCACTGGTTGTGTTATGTTCAAGGTTAAGGATTCAGCCTTCAAGCCCACCTCCCAGCCATCCCAACAACCATCTCTTCAGGCAGCCCAGTAACAGCCCTCCCCCGATGAGCAGTGCCATGATCCAGTCTCACGGTGAGTGGACAGGGTCGGCTGCAACCGTCCAGACCTCCGGAGGTTCCACTCCACAAACCATTGATCTCAAAGGCAGGATGGGATCCTGCCTCAGGGGGTGGCCTTGAGAGCCAGCGCCCCAGAGTGAATCCTGGTTCTGCCAGCTCCTCTGCCGTGCAAACTCAGCTCATGGCCGAGGTGGCTGTGCGCCTGGTTTTGTCACAGGTGAACTAGGGCTGATGTCACAGTTTCAGGAGTAGGGACGGGGAAGCACTTGGAAGCGTCTGGCACTAGGTTAGTTCCCAGGGAAGGTAGCTATTTTTCAAGTTTTTGACAGTTCTCCCCTCCCTTACTAAAGTCAACATTCTACCCTGGTTTCCTTATTACCACGCACCCATTCGGCTAGTCCGCGGGCACGCGGGCCCTTCTCTTGCGGGTGTTTAGACGGAAGTGAAGATGAGTGTGCTCTGATTGGTAGGTGTCTTCAGAGGGCAGCACTTTGAGTGTGTAGCTGCTCCCATAGTGGGTAATCTCTAAGTGACACCGCACAACACAGATCCCTTGCTGGGCAACCCCTACTCCACGCTCCCCGACCAACCGCGTCCTGGGTTCGATGGGATGGGGATCTACCATTCACATACAAGCCCCCAGCCATTTGTTGGCCCAGTAGAGTTTAGGAAGCATTGCCCTAGAGCAGGGCTGTTCAAAGGACAACCGAGGGCTCAGCTTTTCAAAGGAACATAGGAGAAATGCAAATCCTTGGAGCCCCATCCTGACCTGCTGAACTTGACTTTTGTGGGCAGAACCTGGGAGCCATTGTTCTAACGAGTTCTCCCAGTGAGCCCAGGCAGCAGCCTTGCATACCCTGACCTGCTCCCGTTCGATCCAGACCCCCCGGGCGTCCGTCACACCAGGTCTCTTTTTCTCCAGGTGCTGCATCTCCCTCCCAGTTCCAAGGCCTGCCCTCCCGCAGCGCACTCTTCCAACAACAGCCTGAGAGCTGCTCTCCTCCTCCCAACGTGGCACTAACCCGCTTGAGCCTGCCACAGCCCACCCAGTCCCAGCAGGTGACCATCCAAGTCCAGGAGCCCGTGGACATGCTCAGCAGCGTGCCAGGGACAGCTGCCAGCGCATCCGGGAGGGGCCTTGCCATCTCTCCCAATGCCAGCCAGATTCAGATGCAGCATCGTAACAGCCTGATTGCCACCCTCAGCTACGCGCACCGGCCCCTGTCCAAGCAGCTGAGCGCCGATAGTGCAGAGGCCCACAGGTAAGGCTGCCTGTAGTCACCCGGTCAGGGAGAGAGGGCAGGAGGGGGAGAGGAGGAGCCTGGCTGGACTGTGTTGGTTGGGCCACACACCTCTTGTCCCAGCCTTTATAAAACCAGGGAGGTGGGTTTGGGGCGGTGCTCTCGTGACCTGTTCGTTGACCCAGGAAAAAGATGCTCAGGAGACAGAGGAGGAAAGAGCAAAGACGCTCCGCCCTGTTAGAGGAGCTTGTGACAATGCCACTGTCCGGTTGCCGATGACATTCGTGTCTTTACCTCCCTGTCGCTCCTCTAAGAGCCTCGTGCTTCCTAACCACGCCAGTGAGGTTTGGACATAGACCAGTTCTGCTGGGCGTGTGAGGCGCACAGTGCTCCCGTCTCAGGGCAGTGAGTGCATGGGATAGGTGTCCAGGGGGGGTGTCCAGGGGTGGTAAGACAGCCCCGTCGCCCCTGTTCCGTTCTGTGCCAGCGGGCACACCCCACTAAGGAAGAGCCGTGGCTATTCCCAGGGGGACCCTAGCACACCAGCTCCAGGGGTGCCCAGAACTCACTCCCTTTTGTTTCTGCAGCTTGAATGGGAGTCGATTCTCCCCTGCTAACTACGACCAGGCCCAGCTGCACCCCCAGCTGTTCTCGGACCAGAGCCAGGCTGCCCCCTGCAGCTACAGCCCTTCAGCCGGAGTGGGCTTCCCTGCAGCTCCCGCCCTGAAAGTCCCTCCCCTTGACCCGTTCCCCACCTTCCCTCCCAGCGCACATCAGCCGCCGCCGCACTACACCACGTCCGCACTACAGCAGGCCCTCCTGTCCCCCACGCCGCCGGACTACACCAGACACCAGCAGGTACCACACATTCTTCAAGGACTGCTCTCTCCCCGGCACTCGCTCACGGGCCACTCGGACATCCGGCTTCCCCCCGCGGAGTTTGCGCAGCTCATTAAAAGGCAGCAGCGGCAGCAGCAGCAGCAGCACGAGTATCATGAACTGTTCAGGCATATGAGCCACGGCGACGCTGGGGGCCTGGCGTCGAGTCTTGGGGGACAGAGCATGGCAGAGCACCAGGCATTACCTTACCAAAACGCTGACTCCTACCACCACCACCACCACACCAGCCCCCAGCACCTTCTACAAGTCAGAGCACAGGAGTGTGCCGCTCAGGTCTCCTCGCACCCACCGCCCCACGGGCATGCTCACCAGCCAGCCCTCGTGCACCCAGAGAGCATGGAGGAGGACTGCTCGTGCGAGGGGGCCAAGGAGGGCTTTCTAGACAGTAAGAGTGCAAATTCCTTGACCAAAGCTGGCCAGGACAGCCCCCTGCTCTTGAGTACCGGTGGACCTGGGGACCCTGAGTCGTTGCTAGGGTCCGTGAGCCATGCACAGGAGCTGGGCCTGCATCCCTTCCGACATCAGCCGACAGCTGCGTTCAGTAGGAGTAAGGTTCCCAGCCGAGGTAAGCGCCCGCCCTCCATGGTGAAAGCCCCGGGCCGGGCTTCCCCACTTCATTGACTCTGCCACCCGGTCTTTTTCTCAGCCAGCACTCTCTGCCTCAGGAGAAAGGCTTCCTGAGAAGACCCTAGGGCTCCTGAGGGGGAGAAGCGTGTCAGAAGCTGGGATTGGTGGGGAAGAGGTTGATTTTCAAGAGGAAGATCATGCTGCAGCGTTAGTGCTGCGCTCGTAGATCGTGTCTTCTCTTAGATCGTGTCTTCTCATAGATCATGTCTTCTCATGTTCATACCAGGCTTTCCTAGAACCCGCCGTTTCCTGGCTTCCGTCACAGTGGCTGGCTGTAACTTCTCGACAAGAGAAAGTCAGAGCGTGTGATTTAACGTAGAGGAGGTCGGGCCAAGAGCCCGAGCACCCTAGCTCTGTCTTGCCTCTGCCTTGCAAGCACTCTGCCCCTCACGTTCTTCACCTGTGAAGAAACAATGCGGTCTGAGGGTTTGGGAGGATTAAA